TTCAAATTCATCAAGTCTTCTATATCAAGATTTGAAGGAATCGACGATCGATCCAAGAAGAAGTTACAAAGCCCTTGAATTAACATTTAAGGAGAAAATTTTGGAAATTATAACTCAAATATTTTCTTAAAATCGTATAATTCATATTTCTCGCATATTTTTTTTTTGTCTTGTAATTTTCTTGCAGAATTAATTTTATTGCATATAAATTTTTTGCTCCCCCAGTGAGACCATCTCTGCTTTCCATCTTTTCTCTTTGTGTATTCAACCGTTCATATCAATCAATTGCTCTATAGAGCATCAAATTCATGACTACGTCGTTCTAAGGTTGCTGATACCAATCTGCTAAGGAGCCTACATATGATGTTACAAATACTCGTATTGTTAGACCTGCTGCAACAAGAAGCATGAAAAAAGCTTCCACCCAATATAGTATGGAGGTTCTATCTGTATCAACCCCCGTCTTTGGATCAACATCACACAATGATCTCTTCTCCACGTTGGACCATGGATGTTTCTGCTCAATCGAGAAGACCACTACAAGAAATTTGGCCTTTTGTGACAATAAAAAGTCATCACTAAAATTTAAAAGTCGTCATTATATGAGTATAGTGACGACTTTTTCCATTATCACATCGTTGTCACTAATTCTATGTCACAAATAGATAAGTGTAACAACCTATATAAAGTCATCACTAAATATTTATATTTAATGACGAAGACTATGTCGTCACTAAAGATTAGTTTTTCTGTGACGAAGTTTCTTGTCACTGTTTCAAAAATTTTTCTGTCATAAAAGATAGCAAAAGTCGTCACATTTGGACGTGCACAGTGATGACTTGAACTTGTCACTCTCATCCTAGTATTATGTGACAAGAATAGTCATCACTTAGTGAACTTACAACTTTGTCTACAGAGCTGCAATTATTCATTCCAAATATAACATTGCCATGGCTCTCGTTCTGACAATTATAGCCAAAAACTTAAAATTTGGCTAAGAGTGACATCTTTTGGGAAGGTTGTCACTGAATTTTGTCTAAAGAAGTTGAAATTAACTGATACAAATGTAGTATTGCGATGCCATTTTCAACAAATGTAACAAAACATTCAATTTGACAAAAGGCAAAACCAACATAGAATATATGCCGCAAATTCATATATTTGGCCATAACAATCTCCAAATTAATCAAAATAGAAGTGAACTACAAATGTTGGGAATATAGTAATCCCACATAATCAGTTGTAAGTTCTAATGGCCAATACATATCTTTCCCAAAGATAGAATACTAGATTTTGCCACTAAAAGCATAGACTACACAGCTATGGTCAGATTTTGAGCATCTCTTGCAGCACGAGCATCATCAGTCTTCTCACGATCAAATATGAAGCTAGACTGCATTGAAAATAAATGGCCAATAAGCATGAGCAATGAAAATATGAACGAGCACACTTCACACGTTCAAAATAATGGCCAATAAGCATGAGCAATGCTGATAGGATAGAATTTCAGATCAACAGTAGTAAATTTGGCAAGATGATGCTCTATAAACGCCTAGTTGTGACCATTAAGGCATTAATATACAGCTGGCAATGGTGCAGAAACAAGCAGACATGACCATAACAGAAACTGGACCACAATCCCCAAACTAAAAAAGAAAGAGGGCAGAAGAAAGAAAATTTAGATAAGAGAGCAAAAAGCAATATAGTTATCTTGATTCTCTGATTTATTCAACACGACAATGACAAAACTGTTAAAGTTGAGAATAACAAAAGCGTGAATGCTTGCTTCAGCCCAATGAAGATTGCTTCAACAGAAAGATGATACCCGCATTTTTCTTCTTATTTCAGCCAAGTAATTAGGATTGGCATTCATTTCTAGAGGTACGGTTCTTGCAAAGCTTCCACTACTGCATACAAAATTCCCCAACGTCCCATATAGAAAGGATATAGGGTGCAGAATAAAACACAATTTCCAGATTCAATGTTTCCATAATTGAACGTTAGAAGAATTAAGGTGACAAAACACAATAGCCAATTTCCAGAGCTAAAAATCTAACCTTTTATGAAGAGCCAGGGACACATATCACAACACGCAAAAGCAACAAAGTTTCAAGAGCTCACAGTTTCACAAGATACAGTAGTGGACTTTCAAGTGCTCACAGTTTCACACAATGCAAATGCAACAAAGACTTCAAACGACGGGTTCGAAGTTAAGGCTTGATTTTCACAATAAGTATCATCTTTGGACCAATATCAAGCATAAAATTATACCAATAATCAAGTCATCGAGACTTAAGGTTGAAACTCCTCACCTTTTTGCTGTCTATCATTTGCGCAAGTCTTTCATTTGGTCTATCAACTCCTCGTACAGCCCCCTAGTTTCAAGTTGCTGATCTTGCAAGCTCTTAATTAGCTCCTTTTGGGCATTGAATTTCTCTGTAATTTGTGTAGCTCGTTGCTCTGCTGCATCTGCCCGTCTTCGATGTTCTTCAATTTCACTCCTCAAGTGGTCAATCTCCATTGCTTGCCTCTTGGTTGTGCTGCGGTTACGAAGCTATCTAGGTATGTATCCAAGTTGCTGTTGACAAATTTCAGCACTGCTCATTGAAGTTGATGCTTCCATCTCTTTCATTGTTGCCTAGACAAGATAGAATAGCTTAGGTGTTAAAAGGCATATCACAAAGGAGCTGTAAATGCATAAAAATAGAAGGACATCTCGCACCAAAGTCTCTTTCGCTAGATCATTTATTAGCCCTCCTATCTTCTTTGATGTACGACTGATTTCAAACATTTCTATCTCTGAAATCTCCACTCCTTCCTTCCTCTTTTGTCAAATAGAAATTTTGACACCTGACTTTGAGAGTGAAGAAGGACAAAAGCATAAGCACATCTCCAAACAGTTTTAATTGATTACCTTCTCTTTAACAACTCTAGCAAGTGACTTTGTTCCCACAATAGTATGAGGTTCATTCTTGGCACGATTTCCTTTGTTACGGTCACTGATTTTCTGTAATATATAAACAACCAGCAGTAATTCTAAATAAATATGACAAATAAGTTTTATATTTAGGCAAGACTAATTCAAGTATGTAACTAGACCTTGAATTCTTCACTTCCAAAGTAGTTGCATATCCATGTCCAATCCTTAGCTGATACACCTTCAGGAACATGTTGAATTGCTTCCTCTTTCGTCCCAAAAGTTAGAAAATAGCGATGCAACCGATATCGGTGATTCCGATACAAGGTGTTCAACTACCTATTTATAGCAGTTTTTGAGGTGATGTTATTCTCAAACTAGAAGTCATCCTCCAAGACAAATATAAGTACCGAAAAATTAAATAGAAGTACATAAGAATATTGCATGAGTATAAAAATTAAGCAATTCATTCTAGTAGTGATATAAGCAAAAAAAGACAAGTACCGTAACTGTCTTGTATATGTTCTCTCTATATTCAGCCTCAAGATGTGACCATTTGTCAACATTAAGCCTTCCAAACTTTCTAACAACACAGCCACTCTCACTAATGAAGTATTAAGAGTCCTTTCCTACTATCCGCGAATTGGAAGGGTCAACTTCAATTGTTAGAGTTTCATTATCCTCTTTTTTGTGGGTGGCCAAAGTAATGTTTCTAGTACGACTCCTTCTTTTTGTCAATGGCACAGCTATGGATAAACAAAATTCAAGGCTAAATTTGCTATAATAGTTCAACCAAAATAAAAGAACCAAAAATGTAAGTGCATAAGTTGGAACCAGTATTTTCATGTTGACCATCCTGAATTCCAGCAGTCTCATTTGCGTCTGATGCCAATGAATCAGGAGTTTGAGGCTACCCGTTGTTTGTAACATTTTGTGGTGAAGATACTGGCGTCAAAAAGGTCTCATTGCCGTTTGAGCTAGTACTTGCAGATGGACCTTGTTGCTGATTTGAAGGTGGTGATGGTTGCTTTTGTTGTGCTTGTCTTCTAAGTGTTTAGGCTCTCATTCCGGGTCTAGCCATCTGAAAGCAACAACTAACCAAACATCTATCGAAAAATGTTACTAAAAAGATACTCAAGATGACAAAACAAGATCACTTCAGACTAACAGACAAGATGATAAAACAAGATGACAAAACTTTTGGACTAACCAAACATCCATTAAAAAGATAAATCAAACAAGATGACAATATATTGAATCAACTAAACTAGAAATTGTACTCAAGATACCAACAACCATTAGATTCACATTGAATCAATCTCATCTAACTAGAATCTGTGTCATTGTCACTAAGAATATCCTCATCTTCGTCATCATCGCAACTGTTGGGGTCCCCAATGGCACTGTCATCAATAAAGTCTTCATCAGCTTGTTGAGTTCCTCTCAGCTGTTGGTCACCATGAATAACGAATGATATCCCTCTGGGCGAGCCTTATTCTGCACATAACTTTTAAGTATTCCCATTTTCCTTGTTTTAATAAAAATAGGAAATATTAGTATACGTTGGAGTAAGTGAGACATATTATAATAATGGATGTACAAAAAGACACTATATATATATATATATATGACGGCATACCTCTCAAATGGGAACATCCAGCGATATTGAGCTAGGCCAGCTAGAATTGCTTCGGCAAGTAGGTGAACCAGCACGTGTAGTATTATGTCAAAGAAGGCAGGAGGGAATAGTCTCTCTAATTTGCACATAATCACAGGAATTTTGCTATCACACTCCTATAGAACATCCCTATGCAATGTTCTAGCACACAACTTTTTAATCAAATCACTTAATTCAAACAGCACTTGTCGAACTTCTTTAGTTAAGCTTCCACGAATTGCAAGTGGGAGTATTCGTTGAATGAAAATGTGAAAGTCATGGCTCTTCATTCCGGAAAGCTGGAATTGCCCATCTTTATGCATCGAGATATATTAGAGGCAAAGCTATCCTGAAATTTGATGGAAGCTAATCACAGAATTTTTTCTTCTCCTCTTTAAATAGTTGGTAGCAAGCATGAGGCATGATTTAAACATCACCATTCTGAATCAAATGCAATTCTTTATTGATACCTAACTCCTTCAAATCATTGCGACACTGCCAGCTGTCTTTAGTCTTGCCATCAATATCCATAATAGTAGCAAAGACACTCTCCGATACATTTTTCATTATATGCATGACATCTAAATTATGCCGCAATTTTAGGTTTGACCAATAAGGTAACTCAAAAAAGCAACTTTTCTTTGTCCAATTAAGCCTACTGGCATCACGTTTGCGCTTCCTTGCCTTGATTTGCTGAAGAGTTTTCCCAAACTGTATCTCAACTCTTTCTACTTGTTCCAGAACTTCTTTTCCAGATAAGGGAATAACAGGATTCCTAAAATCTACTTTACCATCAAATGGCTTTCTTTCTCTACACCAATGATGATCAATAGGTAATAAGCGACGATGGCCTGTGTAGCATAATTTTTTCCTATGTTTCAAATGCATACAGGATGTTTCTGCCATGCAAATTGGACAAGCCTGATACCCTTTAGTACTCCATCCAAGATAACATAGCATAGGCGGGGAAGTCATTTATAGTCCAAAGCAAAGCAGCACGAAGGGTAAATTTTTGACCAGTATGTGCATCATAAGTTTCTAGACCATCCCAAAATTCATTCAACTCATCTATTAGAGGTGCCATGTAGACACAAATCTCATATCCCTGGGATTTAGGACCAGGAATCAACATTGACATGAAAAAGAATAGGTCTTTCATACATTTCCAGGGAGGCAGATTATATGGAACAACAAAAACGGGCCAAATGCTATAAGTTGATGTCATGGTTCCAAAAGGATTGAAACCATCAGTCGCAAGGCCAAACCTGACATTTCTTGGATCATGAGCAAAATCTGGATATAATTTATCAAAATGTTTCCATGCTTCGCTGTCCGCCGGATGCCTCATGGTGTTACCATCATCTACACGCTTTTCTTTATGCCACCGCATATCTAAAGCTGTTTCCTTGTGTGCATATAAGCGTTGAACCCTGGGTTTCAAGGGAAAATAGCGAAGAATTTTTCGTAGAATTTTTGAACCCTTTGACTTGTAGCGGGCCTCTTTGCAATTTGGATTTGGACAAGTGTCAAAATTTTCATATTCCTTGCGGAAGAGTACACAATCATTGACACAAGCATGTATTTTTTCAGATATGAACCCCAAGTCTCGAATAATTCTTTTAGCATCAGAGAAAGACTTGGGAACTGCAGCTTCGGGAGGAAGTGCCTTCTTAAAGACCTCTAGCAAGGAGTTAAACGAGTTTATAGTCCACCCGTTCATCATTTTGAGATGTAGAAGAGTGACTACAAAAGACAGCTTTGAGAAAAAGGTGTTTCCAGGATAAAGTTCCCTTTTTGCATCTTCCAACAATTTTAGGAAGGCATCAGTCTCACTAGCATTCAAGCCTGAACTTCCTTCACCATCATCTTCCCTACTAAACTAATTTCCCCCCATTGTGCAGTGCCTATGTCATTGAGCATATGGTTTAGATCCTCACTGTCAGTATCCCTTCTTCATCACTGCCTAGATTACTATCCTCTCTAATTTCCTGTCGAAATTGTTCACCATGGTGTAACTTTTTCTAATTCCAAATGTAAATAAGTGGTTTTCCACCACACTTTTTGTATGGTTACAGAAGTTATTGCATTGTTTACAAGGGCAAGCTATCGTAAGATGTTTTGCCTTTCTAGAATATGCGAAGTTTAAGAAAGCAGCCACCCCAAGTTTTATAAGACTCGTCCTGTCTACTATCAAGTTTCATCCAATTTTGTCAATTTCCTAGAGTTACAAATCCAGAACATAAGTCACAAATTTTTATCTACATATTACAACCAGAAAAAAACATAGATAAGCTAGTTATGAAACAATAGATTTACACTGGAAAGCTGTAAATCTGTTAAAGTAATCTATTAAAGCAAAAACAAGTCAGTTCTTCAGGAGCAATTACACACTTTCCAAAACACAAGTCAAAAACAATCTATTAAAGCATAATTTAAACAAGTTACCTAACACGTAATGAGAAATTAGAAGAACAGCGGTAAAAACAGGCCTAATTGTCTCTTGAGTCCAGTGTAAAGCAGCTGCAACAAAGGCAATGAAAAAGCTGAGAATCATTTTTGAACAAAAGCTCCAATAAAAAGCTGAATAGTGAAGAAATATATAGAAAATAGATACCCAAACATAATGCACCAAGTGTGGCAACCCGTTTAATGGGAGTAGATATGTACCATCAGAAACAAAACATTTTTCAATTCTTTTTTGAAAATCTCATAAGAGTTTCAATTCCTCACTCTCTGGGTCAGCAAGGCAAAGTTGTGACAGCCCACCTCACCCTAAGGCGAACCAAAGGGTTCGGCGGGCCGCCTGCCCAGCTCTCGCCGGGACTCAGTCGTTCACTACAGTTCTCAAATAAATTACAAGATAAATCCCAAATTTACATCAAATTCTCCAAGAATTACATATCATAAGCGAAGCGGAAACTAATCACTTGCACTATCAACTAAAACCTCAAGAAATCAAAGCAATACAATTTTCCGAATAAGACAAAGGCCCTCAGTTCTCACATAAATACAAGTACAATCGCAGTCTCAACTATTACACAGGATAAAACTAAAACTTCAATTGAATAGGAGATAATCCAATCATAACCCCAGAGAACTTTAATACAAACTTCCTTCACCTCGAGCCCTGTGGAGGGAAATAAAATAGTTTTGGGGTGAGCTAAAAACTCAGCGAGTAACTGGTAAAATCAGTAATCAAATATATTTCACAATAATTCATTTCAATGATGCCATGCTTCAGTAATCAAATGCACTTTTATTGCTCTCATGAGCCAGCGAAATCATTGTACCCAAACACCCAACGCTCAAATTGCTCACTTAACGTTTAACAGTAAGAGGGAGTGTGACAGCCCCACCTCACCCTAAGGCGAACCAAAGGATTCAGCGGATCGCCTGCCTAGCTCTCGCCAGGACTATGGAGTCGATTCACACAAACCCTATATAGTACGCGCGAGAACTCAACGAAAACGAACAATTGGAGACCACCAAACCATACGGAAGTACAGGACGCCGATTAAACACTTATACATATATTTACATTGGAGTCTTGAACAAATGAACCAAAATACAAGTCAGAGTATTCAAGCTACACAAAATACAATTAGGGTATCAGTTACAGATGAGCATAAACAAGAGAAGTCCTACTACTAGCTCAACTCTTTTCTTCCAAAAATCTTGGTTTCAAAACATGGAACCCTGTAAGGAAAACAAAGGTAACAGAAAGGGGTGAGCTTGCGCTCAATGAGGTACCAGACATATAGCAGTAAAATCATGGCATTTCACGTTTAACAAATCAGGTACACATGCCAGATGTAAAATAAAGTAGTTAGACACAACGATTCAAATAGGAAGGATACAGGTGGCTCTCAGGAGCCAAATTCCCATTTGCTTCACCGGAGCTTGATCGAAATAATAGTTGACACTCCGTCAACGCTAAAGGAGAAACCAATACCGTAGACTCCACTTTCTCCGATTCCTTCCACCTCACATACCCCTACCGGGCCAGAACTCCAATCAGATCAGAAATGGTAATACTCGAGTATACCTGAATCAAGGGTCTCAATACCCAAAGATCCCAAAATAGATTACCGTGGTTAATTATCTAATGGACCAGGCCCTTGCCGGCCCGACTCGAGTAGCCAGCCACAGGTGTTGAGCTCAGAGATTATAGAAAGGTCGTTGGATACAAGCTTCGAAATGACGTCAGAACAGATACAGATACAGATAACAGATTCAGATTCGCACCAAAATTGGCATATGAACAGACAAGAGAACGAGTGTGATAAAGTACACCCTCGTCTCAAACAAAATAAACAGATAGTTCTGTCGTTCATATCACAGATTGCATGTACAGAAACTGAGTTAAACAACAAGTGAGAGGAGTGGTACACTCACCGGTTCAAGTACGGATACTTCAAAAGTTTTCACTTCAAACTGACTTTAATCGCCAAGAAACCCTAAAATAACCGAAGTAAAATAATTGAAGGTTCTATTTCCAAAATCGAGTAAACAGAATGAACATGTGAGGCTCGACTACTAGTTGCATGCCTCGCCAAATAATTACTAATGCAAGGGTGCAAAACATGATTTTTTGGGAACGAAAAGGTAACATGAAGACCTAGGGCTCAAACAACCCAAAAGCCCTTCAGTTCTATCAAAAGGCAACTCAAACTTAAAGGAACCAAACGGCCCAGAAAATTTGACAACATTTCCCCTTAATTTGCTTACTTTTCCAGCCATCATGGCTTCATTGTTTTTCCTCAAGTCAGTCCAATTCAACACATAAGAAACCTCAATACAATAGCCCTTCAACTAGGCTCAAGTCCATCCAAACACAAAGCAAGTCTAGGAATGCAACTAGAAATCAAGTTTTTAAAGACAAAAGCTAAATAGCAGGTTTGATGTCTCTTAGCGGAACAGACAGAACTGAGGCTACGATTATCGGATTAGGGTGAAATGTATACCGTTTCGAAGCTAAGTCAAAGGCCTACAACTTTGATGAAGACCACTCAGTCCAGTTCATAGTGTAGCTAAGTCAAAATTGAAATATACGAAACCAGAATCTCACAAACAGGTTGGCTAACCGCACAATTGTTAAACAGCAATAACTCAGGCTACCGAAATCCGATTGAAGTGTATCTTTTGGTGTTTCGAAGCCAAAACACAACCCTATATTTATTATGCAGACCTCCAAGGCCAAATCATGCATTTTCATGATCAAAAATGGAAAACTACACGAAAACAGAAATCTGAGCGCGAAACAGGTTTCATGGACAGTTAAGGGTATTTCGGTCATTTAACATGCTACAGTGGTTGGATCAAGCTGAAATGTTTTAGACAACTAGTTTATACCATTGGCTACAACTTTCATGTTTTGGCCAAAATCTAATTCTGTAAGGATCAGGGTGAAAAGTCACGGTCAGGTTGGGTGAAATGGCAACCCTGTTTGCTGAACTCCTACCTAGGCCAGTCTGGGTATTTCCGAATTTGCACAAGCTACCAAGCTCATATTGGGCTGAAACTTTACAGAAACCTATACAACATCATTCTCTACAACTTTCATGAAGACCATTTAGTCCAGTTCTCACCCTAACTAGGTAAAATTTACCAAAATAATCCCAGATTTTCCAGTTCGAAATTCACTGCAGAATTCAACTAGCAGTCCTGATTCATTCACTCATATCTCAGCACACACAACTCCAATTCAGGTAATTCCAAAGCCATTTGAAAGCTAAGATACAAGGGTAGAATTCTTAAGAAGACATCAACAACCAAATCGATAGTATTCCCAGTCAAACTACCCAATTACCAAAGCTGATTACTATTCTCGGATAAAAATAGGGTATCAGGGGTATTTTGGTCTTTTCATAGGTTATGTTGCTCTGATTGAGGTGAAATTTTGCAGGAAATTATAAAACATCATCGTCTACAATTTTCATGTTTTGTGCTAAGGCCAATTCAGCCTCTAACTAGGTGTAACAGCACCAGACAGAATAAGAAAAATTGAAAACCCTAAACTAGAATTCATGCCTTCAAGTGTTAATCTTCCACAAAACAACATCTAAAACAACTAAAAACCACTAATAAGCAATGAATTGAAGTAAAGAGGATGTTCTTGGCAAAATACCTTATCTCCCTAAGAAAGATGGTAGTTTAGGCTTTGTCCTCCAAAAATAACTCCACAAACACCTTCGAAACTACTTGGAAAGTAAGTTTTATGGAGTAGTTTGCAAATTAATCGGTTAAAACTCAAGATTTGGACAAGAAATTGAAGTGGAAGATGAAGGAATTTTCTCTCTTTCTCTCTCTCTAATTCAGCCAAGGAAGACAAGAAAATGAATGAATTTTTTGTAATTTTTGATAATTTATTGGTAAAGGTAAGTTAAATGGTCAAAGTCCAAGAGTGAATAGGGATGGTGACATTTGTCACCTTTTGCTTAAAGCTTATCTCTTTGTCTCTCTAATACTCATCCATATAGGTAACTTCTAATTATCTCTTAACACCTAGTATATAAATCCCGGTATACCAAAACATAACCTAATCGGTCGAATTTATCGCGCTTAACGCCACTAGTGGTCCCACGTCCAATATTACACTCTTTATTTCTGAGAACTAATTTATATTAGAAAAATAGTTTAAAAAAACATATTTACTTTATAAAATCTCAAAAATATAAATAATAATATTGTATAATGACGGAAAATGCAGGCGAGAAATGAAATAAATAATATATAAAAATTAGAAAAATTTGCGGGTCCTCACAGGGAGCCCTTTGGTGCTCCAGATGAACTTGAACAGTAAGAAGTGGTGGAGACGTTGGTGTTCAGCACAAGACCCCTCAAGAACTCATTGAAGCCAAATCATGCCATGAACTCACATCCTAGCACGCATGATATGCAATCGAGTAAATAATGCAAGAAAACGTTCATAAGTAGCTTTGGATAGTTTTGGGATTACTTCACCTCCACGGCTCAGGAACCATCCATCAAATATCATTGTCTTGCCCAAATCCAAGCTCTAGATCGCAAACTCAAAGCAATCAATCACTCTCCGTGTTCGGACAGCATTTCCCCTTAGTTTCTTTTCTTTTCCAACCTACAAACAATTACCAAATTCATAACATCAACCACAATCCCACATACGATTCAAAAATCATAAAACATATCCGATTAGGCCACAATATCCTTCAATCAAGGCCAATTAGAAGCTCAAAAGTCAACGATTAGAAAACCCCCAAATTAACCCTAGAAACCGGAATTTCTGCACCACGCGGAAATTTTCCGCAAACAATCTTATCCAACGTATACAAGCTCAACTTTACACCACAACAAGCTATCAATTCAAGACCAATCCATGATTATAATATAGAATCAGAAAAACCCTAATAAATCAGAAATTCATCATAAATTCCTTCAACCCATGAAATACTCCACAATACCACATACTTAACCACCACAACCATTAATTAACCAATATTAGAGCAAAAGGGAACTTGTTTATCCAACTTACCTCAAATTCAAGAAAGCTATCAACTTAGAGCTTCCCTTCCAAAA